CGTTCTAATTCCAACCATAGTTGATGAGCAATTTTTGCATACAGAGTACTCGCCTTAATGTCAACTGACATTGTGTTCTAATCCAGGTAATAATGATATCATTGCATCGAAGCCAATGCTCCATCAAAGGGCCATCTATACTAGCTAGTTCACAGATGCTTCCATCAATGAAGCCCACTTTATTCTTAATCCTGAGAGCTCTTCTCATGGACCTTGCCCAGGAATGGTAATTAGTAAAATCCAGCATGTGAGTGACTAATAATGCTCCTGAGTTCTCATTAGTTCCAATGAAATATAAGCTGTTTGGAAGGGATAGGTCGTGTGAACTTGTATTTAAATTTGAGTTTGAGTTTTGAGGTAGTGTTTGATTTTGATTTGCATTAGTGTTGTAACGATTGCCTTCGTTTTCAGCTATCATGGATACGATATCATGTAAGAAAGTGTAATGAAACAAATATAAATCAGCTCAACTTTGCTGTGTAGGAAAAACGGCAGGCAAATTCAGAGAATAAAATGGAAGAAAATTGGAGAGGAAAACTGGTGCTGATTCATTGAGCATCTGTATTCATTTCATAGTGATATATGTTACTTACAAATATGGATAGCAGATTACATTTATAGACACATTTCATTCTAACAAACCTATACAAGTGTCAAAATGTTATTGCATACTAATTATCAACAAGATAACTGAATTGGAATCTTTTCTAACTTCTCCAGCATGTGCCTCATCTGCCTTCACTATCGTGCTCCTGATGATCACTTTCTAGATCCTTCTCGATCATTCCAGTTGGTGGCTAATTTGTATTCCAATATGTGCTTGGCTGAAAATTGAAAATAGTAAAATCATATTTTAGGTNTGAAAATTGAAAATAATAAAATATTTAAAGTTTGAGCTAAATTAATTAGTTAGCAAATTCATTTAGAAAAAATAAAATAATTTGACTTATTTAAGATAAAAAATTAAAAAAATTAGAGAAATTTGGTTCTTATTCGATTATTCAGTTCTAAGCCTAGAACCGAGAATCGAACCAAATCTGTCGATTCTTGATTTAGATACACATTCGGGCATTTAATTTTAGAAGAACCGCTCGATTCGATTTAGTTCGGTTCAGTTCGAAAGTTTTGTCAAACCCTAATAGTTTGTAGATGATTTTTGATCCACTTGTCATTCTACTTTAAATATTTGTCCAAATTATTGGTAGTAAATATAGAAATAGAAATTAACCTTAAAAAATACAATCCCCAATGTACGGTTGAAATTGCCAACTCCAATAATTGCATGTGAAAAATAGTTTACTTTTCGCTTGTCAATCCACTCTTCTCTCAAGAATGTTTTGTTTTAATGGAACCTTTATAGATTAGGTGAACTTCCCTTACTAATTAAACAAATGCCTAAATAGTAATTATAATTATTACTCGCTTATTAATAAATTATTAAGGTTTATTGCAGCTTTCGACTTGGGTTTATAACATTCCATAAACTAATTAAATCGGCACTATATTTTTAAAAATCACTATTTAGTTTTGAATTCATGTTAATCTAGGCCTCGAAGAAGTTATAATAGCTAGTGGTGTTGCTAACTTGACTACAAAAGAGAAAAAATTGGTTACATGAAAATATTTTACGTGGGGGTGATCTATTAGATATTCAAAAATTATTCAACACAATCAGATAGGTGGAGAATGTTACGACAAACAAAAAATGTTTGTATAGTAGAGCGTTAATTTGGCTAGCAAATATAGTAAAAACATTAGTTTAGACTGTTCCTACGGGGGTTGTGAAGGAACCCATAAATATTTGGATAGAAACGAATTTAATTGTTGATTAAGCGAGCGAATGTAATAAGAAGACTAGTTATAAACGCTTAAGACTATTCTTATGGGGTTGTGGACGAAGAGCCCCATAAATGTTTGGATAGCGACGAACCAAAGTGTTGATTGAACAAGCGAATGTAAGGTACAAGACCGAGTTTGTATTATAAATTTATGCTACTTACTTTATCAATAAAAAAATCCATATTTAAAACAAACTTATTTATTTATAAGTAAAGCCAAACATGCTCTAGGGATTCAAAGTCTATACAACTAGCGTTATCTACTAAGCATAGGATTCTAATCTTGAAATCCATCACCCCTTATATATTTTGTCTTTTGCCTTTTCTTATCCCAAAAGCATTGTAGAGAACCTTCCCACTATCATAAGGCGTCGTATATGGAGAAAAGTCATTCGTTTGTGGGGCATATTCAAAGACTAAAGGGCAAAAAGGTTTATTTGCCAGAGAATATAAAGCCAAGTACTCAAGGTAATAATGTGACTTTGCAGTTTGTCAAGAGGAAATTTTAAGTTAATCAGCTTTAGATCAAGCACAGTTGGTCCAAAAATATATCAATCACATGTATATATTTCTTTTTATATTGTATCTTCGAACATGGTTGAAATATATTTGGGTCCGTTTGACAAAATTTTTGAAAAATATTTTCAAGGAAGCTGATCTAAGACGAGTTCTTTAAAAATCTCTTCGACATGAAGCAGAAGCCTACCACACGAGCTTTTAGTTTTATACAGTATTGAATGACGCTTAAACTTCATGGACTGAATGGTTGGATTCCACTCGTTTTCTTGTTTATACTGTCGAGTACTATATAATATTCTCGACCAAATGCGCTATAAATTAAAATGTGAGCTTATTTATTCATTTAAAAAGTGAAATACGAAATATATAGATTGAGAGAGAGCCATGTACATAAACTAAGTTACTTGAAAGATTAAAATGAGACTAAAAACCACTTGGGGTTAAACAATATTAATTGTAGTAATCAAGAACCTTAGTTTATGCTAAGTTAGAGTCTGAAAAGCTGTTTCCAAGTCTGGTGGACTGAAGAACTCCCTTACACCAGCATAATGACACCTCGAAGAAGGTTTTCGTTTCTTCGGAGCTGGTGGACATGCCAACATCCTAGGAATCCTCGAATCTGCAGAGGTTGGTGTTTTTGCATGCTCATCTTCATCATCTTTCCCCAATGGATTAGTCGAAATTGGCTTCAACGGACTTCGCAGCGTGATCCTGGTAATACTATCCATTTGATGAAGATTTTCAGACACCCTCATTGTCAAGAATCGAGGAAATTGTAGTTCTATAAATAGAAGTAAAAGAAAAAAAAAGGGGGGGAATTTTTTTGTAGGGAAGAGGGAATTGATTCTCAAGAAACTTGTGAGGAAAATCTTGAAGAGAAAGTTGAAAGGAAACTTTAGTTAAGGGGGGAGACTTTGGAGAGGGTGTTAAAAAGGTTTTAAATTAAGGAAGAGTATGGTTGAATATTGTCGTGTTTATACTTTATAGTGGACGTAAAGAACCCGAGGAAATCTGTCTGGCGCGAGGAAAAGTTGGTGTGGCTGGCCCATTAACTTGATCTATACGTTGCAATTGGACCATTGAAAGTCAAAGACGTGTTGATTTAAATAGTCTTGGTCAAACGTGGCGACTCAATTGGTTTGGAAACTCGTGGGCACGTAAAGTTGAAACAGTCTATAGACTTGTGCCTTAAATTGATTGGATATGAATGCTTATATTCGATCCGATCAAATCCGATAATTCAACGAATATTTGATTGTTAAATTTATATTCGATTTGCTATGTTATCGGATATTTGATCTGATAATCATGTCCGAAAATAAAGAAATTAGGAAAAAAAATCAACGTTGGAATCAACCTTTTTTTCCCAATTTTTTCAATTCTTAAATTGGTCTAATAATATAAAATTTTCAACTTTTTTTTTTTTATATTTTGAATTTGACGACTTTTTTTATACTAAAGTTTTTTATTTTCTCATTTATTTATTTTAGTGACAAATAACACGCATAAAAAACATATTACCGACTCAATTATTTATAACAAATTGGATCAGATTGACCTATAGTCATATTTGATCTATTTAGTTAATAGATTATCATATTCATTTAGTTAGGGGTTATCAGATTGAGACGCTAAATTCATCTCACATTAATTTCATCGAATTCGAATCAAAATTCAATCCATTTATAGTCGTTTTGAACTGATCTTCTTCGAAATTAATATAGTTATGAAATTTAATTATTGTCACTATTCAAAATGGATACACGAATCAATGTTTAAGAACTTTACACTTGTAATTTTAATTTGAATAATGTTATCTAGCACTAGCGGTTCTATAGCATCTCCAATAAGTTTCATGTATTGCAATTTATGCGCCTTTTTTATTTACTAGATATTATCGTCTAATAAGTAGACGACCTAATTCAAATTTCATTTTCAATAAATTTCGTTCATAACTCAAATTTCAAGTCTAATGTATATTTAATAGAAGAGAGATTATATAAGAAATAGAAAAAAAAATATTAAATTATAGTTACTCATCTCTTTTAAAAGAGCATTTACATTTAGATGAACTTCTTGATAATGTCATTTTTTTTTGTAACGTCAGTTAAATACTGTCGTAGACATTGTATTGGAGAGAAACTTTTGAACATAGTCTATTTTATCTTATGTGACGATTGTTTTAGTGCAATTCACGTTAACATTGGAGATTTTTTTTTTTTTTTTATCGTATCACACCATCTATCCTGCCTCCATCACTTTGTTCTTCCCTTATTCGGTCATTTTCTACCTTCTATCTATTGAATTTAACTTCCTGTTATTTCACCTCACGCATTTCTTACAACTCCACCTTTCCCTCTCACTTCACTCTACCTAAATTATGCCCATGTTTCGTAATCATTCCTTCAATTTTTTTTTTTTTAATACTCATTTTTAAATATTAAGTATTAACTCTTTCTGACAAAAAAAAAAAAGAAAGAAATTAATTCAACAACACGTTTTACACGACCGTTTAATGAGGGGCAGTTTCGTAACTACATTGATATAGTTGAAAAAAAAAAAAACAGCAAGTCAGGCGTCAGCGCACCATCTCCGTCAAGTACGCAGAGGCCGCAGCCACCGCTACTACCAAACCACGCCAAAATGTCGGCTATTAAACCACCGCCACCCCTCCAACCACCTCCCACAAAAACCCCTAGCAAAACCCTTAATGCCATTTCGATCCCTTCACATTCCTCCAGGCAAAACAAGACCGCCATTAAATGCGAGCTCACTGATTCTCCTCAGAAGTGGACAATTGACTGTGTTTCTTCGGGCGACCCAATTCACATCATTCTGAAACCCCCTATTCCAATGGCCTCTTCAACCTTTGGTTTGGATCCTTCAATTAAGAATTCCAAAAGAATTTGCCTTTTTTACTGCTCGGAAATGAGGGATCTTGCTGAAAGAATTGCGGCAGAATCTGACGCTATTGAGCTCCGTAGCATCACCTGGAGGTATCCTTTTAAATTGAAATTATCCAGATTCATTGATTTTGAACACATATGGATGTTTTTTATTACAGTATATTGATTAAACGTAGTTTTAGTTTGTTCTGGGAAATGGTGGGATCACGAGAATACTTCATTTAATGGTAAATAGGGAATTAATGTGAAAGACCAAGTTTTGTACTTTTCTGTCAAATTAGTTCACACCGAGCCTGACTCTGGGTCGATTTGTTAAGATAGTTTTCTCCAGAATTATTTTGTGTGATTTCATTCAGATGTAATCTTTATCATGAAGTGAATTAACTATATAAACTATTACAATCATGCTATAGTGTAACTTTGAATATTTGGAGATTTTTGTTATTCTTAGTACTTCGTTTTGGTATAAATGACATGTAGATCACTGAAATACAAGGGTTATTTGCCCTTTATTTTTATATAAGTTCTGTTTTAGTTGGAGAAACTGGTAAGTGAGAAAGTTTTTTCGATTGCCATCTCTCTTTTACTTTCCAGTCCAGAATCTTGATAGGGAGTTCTAACGTTTTGAGAAAATGAGACTTCTTCTCTACTTGTGATGGAACAAAGTGTAATTTGATGATCTTTCATCTTGCTACCTGTCGTTAGGAACCTTTATGATTGTTGTTTCCATTGTCATAATGATCTCCTATTTGACATACATTCTTTCAAAATACATTATTCAAAACTCATTTTCAACCACACATTTTTCAATAAAATATATTTCTATCACATCAATAATTTTTCTTTATTTTTTAACCACATATTTCCCATCATATCACTATTTAAAATACATTATTTTTTCAATAATATTCATCAAACACACCCCGAGTATCCTTTTACTTATTTATCTATTTGCTATTTGGTGTGAAATGATAAATAAGGTTTAAACTAGTTGTCTTGTTATTCAATTTTATTGATATTTCTCCAACATATGAGTTGTGAAAATAATAGTATGGTAACATAGATTTATTTGTGTATTTAATCAATCAGGAAATTTGAAGATGGATTTCCTAACTTATTCATATCCAATGCTCATGGAATTCGTGGACAACATGTAGCTTTTCTAGCTTCATTTAGTTCCCCTGGAGTTATTTTTGAGCAATTGTCTGTTATATATGCACTGCCAAAGCTGTTTGTCTCATCCTTCACACTTGTCCTGCCATTTTTCCCCACGGGCACATCTGAACGTATGGAGGATGAAGGAGATGTTGCCACGGCTTTCACGCTGGCCAGAATCTTGTCAAATATTCCAATTTCAAGGGGTGGACCCACCAGTTTAGTAACTTTTGATATTCATGCCTTACAGGTGGGTAGGTAAATCGTACTTTAGTGGTGATTCGTGGCTGTATTCGTGCTGCTATTCATTCTTTTACTTATGGTCTTGATCATTTTTATTATTTATTATTATAATAATCATTATTTTTTCCCCTTTCGGAGCTTAATGTATTGTTTTCCTTTCCTTTTCTTTTTTCTTTTGTACCGCAGGAGAGATTTTACTTTGGTGATAATATTTTACCATGCTTTGATAGTGGTATACCGATGCTCTTGAATAGGCTTCAACAGCTCCCGGACTCTGACAATGTAAGACTTTTTCTTTATTCCTTTGAATTCCAGTGCAGATAAAGGTTCTTGTTACTTTTCCAATATTTTGAGTACAAAGCAGTTGTCAATGGAATTGATTTTGTTTTTGAACGTGAGAGTTTTGAAATATGCATTGACCTTGAAAATGTTCACAGAGTAAGTTAGGTCTTTGCCTCCAGTGGTTCCCAAAAAATGGTGAATTTAAAGGGAAAAGGTGGCTCAATTACTAAATGTATCCGTACTTATTGTGTTGGATAGAAAGTGGTTTAGAAATCCCATCTGCTTGTAAGAAATTCAATTTCTTTTACAATGTTTTGCTATTTTTTGCTCTTAGAAACTTGTTGTGTGCTAATTATGTATTCATTTCTCATTCTCGACTGAATTTCTGATTATATTCCATGCTTTTTGGAAATTGCAAAATTGAGTTTTTTAACCGTCATAAATTAAGAGATGAAATTCATTGGTGTATTTTTATTTTTTTTAAGTTTCAATTCCTCTTTTTGTCTGTCCAGATAACCATAGCCTTTCCAGATGACGGTGCATGGAAACGCTTTCATAAGCAGCTGCAGCACTTTCCAATGGTACTGCTCCTAACACGAAATGGATGTCAACAATCCTCAGCGTCATGTTTAAGAGATTGCGGCAATGAATTATTTTTTCATTTCAATTTACTTTCTTTTGTTGCCTTGGGTTATAATTTCTCATATATAACCATAGCTTGCTACTCATGCTTTCTAAGAACTCGATCTGTAAGGTTCCTATATAAGTAAAGATATGACCATCGAAATACATCATAAATTCCAGTTTTGCCAGCTGGAGCCACTATCTGATTTACTTCCTTTGAATACTATTCCATGGTCTACATAAAGGTCATAAAAGAGAATCAAGAAAAATGAATATGGATGAGAATTCATAGTATTGTTGACTGAAGAGAAAGCACGAGCTTTACTCTCATAAATGAGTTGTAAAATTGAAGTTACAGGGTCGTGTAACTGAATTTGCGAAAAGCAACTTAGTGTCAATCTGTGAGTTGGTGCTTATGGTGCATCAATGTTCCGTCAATCAGCAAATATTTCCTTTGTTCTCCATTCTTTTAACTTATGGAACTATGCAGTGTAACAAATTGTCTTAACCGTCTGATGACCATGTACAGGTCGTTTGTGCTAAAGTTAGGGAAGGCGATCAACGAATCGTACGCATTAAGGAGGGAGACCCCAAGGGACGTCATGTTGTAATAGTTGATGACCTTGTGCAATCTGGTGGCACACTATCAGAGTGTCAGGTAAAATGATTTGACGGTAAACTCTCCCTTATTTAAATGTTTGTGAAGGGCTTTGCGTAATATCGTTTAGTTTCTATAAGCACTATTTCGTATTTTCAGAAAAACACTAGTATTTTAATTGACCACCAGTGTGTGTGTGTGTGTTTTTTTTTTCAGAAAGTATTGGCCAAACACGGAGCTACAAAAATAAGTGCCTATGTGACACATGGTATTTTCCCCAACAGTTCTTGGGAGCGGTTTAAACACGACAATGGAGGTAGTCACGCATCATGTGAACCAAAGTATTGCATTTTCAGAGTTTTACTCGTCCACTGAAGATATCAGTTATCAACAATATATATAGTGTGTGTTTGGTATAACTTTTTGTAGATCATAAGCAGTGAATCCTATGAAATGTGTGGATAAAAATGATGTTTGACTAGCTTATAAGCTTGAAAAAGCACTCCCAGACGCTCTCATAGTATGTTCAATCATATGTTTTAATATTTCTGCAGACTGTACATGCATTTTCTTAAATCACGTAATGTAGCTGAAAACACGCTCTTAAGTAATTTGTTTTCTTACCTTAGGTGACACTGTAAATTACGACATCCTACTAATGTTTATCTAAATGTCACATGGTTGAAAATCTTTCAGGGAACCCCGAGAATGGGATGACATATTTCTGGATTACAGACTCGTGTCCAAAGACAGTGGAACATGTTAAAAACAAGGCTCCATTTGAAGTTCTAAGCCTTTCTGCTTCGATAGCATCTGCCCTCCAGGTCTAATGGTGGTTTTCAAACATTTGCTTCTCCTAATTTTTTTCTGCATCTCAAAGAGTCGAAAGGCAATATGGATATACTGAATAGAAGCTGAGGATTCAACACCAGAAGATTTCTTATTGTCTTTTCTGAGTTTGATCGATCTAGCAATGAATCGAACTAACGGAGAAAAAGAATTCATGTAGAGTACGTTTTAGTTTGTTGGTCAGTATTTGGTAGAATTGGATTATACATGAGTTTGGTTCTTTATTAGGTTCATCTTGGAATATGATTCACCTTCTTGGAATATAAATATACAGTTCTATGCTGGAATAATTCAAATGTAAAGCCATGCATATTTAAATTTATTGGCAAAGGAAGAAAATATTGACGTCATTGGAGTTATTAATTCTATCAATATAAATTTATTGGGGTCTTCAAGAATTTGAGTAGGCTTCAAAATTTGGAGAGGCCGGCGCATATAGTATAAGCTTGAAAGTAAAAACCGGTAGAGTTCAATAGAAAATTTGAGTTTTGTCAATCGGCAACGATCCGGCCAGGTCATAAAGGCTAGGCAGTGTGCCGGATCATAGGCTGTTTGATTGCATTAACGTCTTTCAGACTGGTTCGATGGTTGGATTGTCGATTTTTCTGAGTGGATATGATTTAATAACGATGGTTGTGACAATCGATATTCGAGAACAGACTCCTATAGAGTGATGCTATTTGTATATAGACTGTGTCTGGGCCGAATTCTTTGCCAGATTTTGAGTGATTTTTCAACCGTTGCAAAGAACTCCAGTCGCAGAAGTATGAAAAAAACGGCTATATTCCCACTAAAATCTGATGAAAAGCAGGGCAGACAAAGCCATAATGTATAACGAGCGTGATATGCTGAGGACTACCGAAAGAAGACTGATTTTATAAAGTAATTTAACGTGAAATATGAATAGTTGTCAACATTGGGTATTAAAAAATGGTGGAACATATCCGAGACGTTAATTTAAATCTTAATTTGTGAGTTCATAACAAGCCGTGGTCGCTCTCGATGATTGGTCAAAATTTCGTATTCGTATGGGTATTTTTGAACTATTGATATTTGTCAATCGAAAAAATCATTATTAATGGTAAACGAATTCCACTTTATAAGTCCCGTTCGGTGAAGATTAAAATTAAATTTTGAAAAAAGTTAATTAAATATGTGATTAAAAATTTGTGAATTCAATTAGATCTTTGAGAAAAAAATTAGATTATAAGTTCTAGATTTTGACAAGTAGGCAAAATCAGCATTCCCGTCCCTCTCTGTCACTATAAAAACCCCAAAGACAAACTTTCCATTTCAAAAACTCCAAAAATGGCGGGATCAATGGTTACAGTACCAATCAATCACTTGGAAATGGAAAACCCTAAGCATTCGCACTCGCAAATCTCCCCAATCATAGATCAATGGCAAATCCAATATGCACGCTTCATTAACTGCAGCTCCTCCAATGTCAGCCGCACTCGTTCTTCTCTCTCGCCCCTGGCCGCCGTCCAAAAGCAGCGCCTCCGTGGCGGCACGTGGATTTCCTCCTCCTCGTTCACGGCCTGTCTCAAGCTTGTATCAGATCACTCTAACGGATTTTCCGATGCCATTCTCTTGCTCTCTCTCCGAGCTAAAGTCCTCGTAAGTCCAAAATCAGATCGCGTATTTGTACAGGTTTTTGTGTAGTAGTGCTTTGTGTTTCTGTTATTCTGCTTTGGTTTTTCATCTTATTCTACAATTGAAGTCATCCTTTGTTTGATTAATTCAGTTACTGTGCTTGATTTTATTAGCTGCATAGTCATCGTAGATACAAAAACAATCAACTACATCTGTGTTGTAGTTTCCGAATTAGATATAGTTATTCTTCCTTGTAAGTTCAACATCTAATGAATCTATGTCCTGTTTGATTTATAGCTCTTTTTTTAATGATCTTGATTCAGTTCTGTGTGTTCGATTTATTAGCTGTAATTCTGTGAATTTCTCGAGAGCTGGAAATCAAACCAATGTCCTACTTTGAATTATCAGAGCATCTCTTTGAATATACTAGATGCAAAGTCCATATAGATAACAAAATAATCGACCTTCTCAGTATACTGTGTAGTTCGCTCGTGTTGTACATAATTATCCAGTCTTTTGTTTGACTTTAAGTAATTTCTTCCTGTGGATCGATTCTAATGGTGTTATTCCCTTATGTACGAGGTTTTTTGTAAGTACCATTTTGATTTTGTGAATTTTCATAGAGAATGTAACAAATTTAGTGGTTCCATCGATGGTACAGGAGGAGCATTATATCTCAAAGCTTCAGTTCTCATGGCCTCAAGTGTCATGTGTATCTGGATTTCCTTCTCGTGGGAGCAGAGCTGTTTTCGTTAGTTACAAAGATGGAGTAGGCCAGGTAAGCTGCCAAACAATTTCAAACTCCTACTAAAATTCCTTCCATGATGGAGCTTTTCTTATGACTTATCATCTTGTTGTAACGAAGAATTCTTCCATGTACATTAATAATATAAAGAGGATGTTACTTGCTGTAGCAGTAGAGTGTGGAATCTACGGATAGTCATGCTTATGGACTTCCTTTTATCAAGCTGAAAATGTTTATATTGACTTATTCATGCAATCAAATGAGTTAACTCAATGTCTTTAGTTGCTTCAATATATTTAAGCTCATCAGGATTTATGTTCATGAATGTTTATGCATGTTTACAGATCCAGAAATTTGCAATCCGGTTTTTGAGCAGCTTTGAAGCTGAAAACTTCATGAATGTTTTAAAGGTGTACCCATTAGTATCTATAAATTCATTGTTGTTCAGTTATTTCCATTGCATCACATAAATATATTACATTTTCTATATGATATTCTATCTGTTTAACTCAGGAAATCTTGGATAGTGCAAGTCAAGGGCTTCCATGCGACTCTGACCTATCTTATCAAGATGAGTCTGTACGTTCAATTGGACCTGCATACAGGTATGCAAAGTGATGTACTGTTGCTTGCTTTCATTCTGTTCCTTGAAACAAACTTATATGAACAGAGACTCAAAATCTTGTGGCAAAAAGCGTGGAGGTTTGGTCCCTCCTCAAACAACCGGGATATAAGAGTAATTTTAATGCACACAAAGGAAAAAAAAAACAATTAATTAGCGTTTGCTCAAAAAGAAATTTGACAATAATATCCAATGTCATTTGCAGGCCCGAGGAAAACTGGCAGTATACAACTTCTGCAGACACGAGTATACATCTGATACCACCAATTGATGAGGCTCAAGATTCAAATCCACAGGAAAGTTCACAAAATGTTGCTGATGAAGAGCTACTTCCAGCTTTTCCTCCCAGTTTCACATCATTATTGATGAACCATTGCCCTGCTGCCAACAAAGGTATAGGTTTTCTCTATTCTATCATTTGATATTGTATATTAACTTTTGAGTCTTCAGGTAACTCACTTGGTTAATCAAAATATCTACCTGCAGCAAAACCAGCAGAGACCGAGGAAGTTGATCTTAAAACCCAAATAATGGTACTTAAACCTTGTTTTATGCTACAGATTTGTCCCCGAACACCCCCGCCATCCACACACATACACGCAGATAGGATAGTTATGTATTATCAGACTGCTCAAGTATGAAATTTAATATAATGAATCTGTTCTTGCCTCCATTAGTTTCACAATTTGTTTTTCTTGCAGCAATATCTTGAAGGTTCTTCTTTCAAAGGTATGGTTTACTATAAGATACTATTAATCCTTTGTACACCATCTGTTTCTTGGGATATTTTCAAAAGACGGTGAAATGTTTGCTTTGGGTAAATTTATTGTTTTGCCATGTTAGAATTACCGAAAGCGAAAAAGACAATAATCAGAAAACTGCTGAACGATAAAACTTTCCATTGCAAATATTTTTAATATGTTATTACATAAATCCAACATACTAACTGGATTTCTGAATATTACCAGATATAGTGGATACGGTAGAGAATGTCATCAAGGAATTGGGAGATGATATACTGCTCTAAACATCTATGAATATGGAGCCAGAGCTGAATCAATTGTAATGCGTATACATGTTCATTGTCTTTCTAGCATACCCATAATTTCGCTTAATAATCCTTTTTGTTGTTTATTGTGAATTTCAATGAAATTGGGAAATGAAAAAAGAAGCCATTCTACGATCTTTTCATTTTATGACATAGGCTTGGTTTTATGTGATTGCTACATGGATTGCATCTTCATGACTTTCCAGTGGGTGCAAAAGCTCTTAATTTCCATTTGCAATCCCCTGGACGGTTGAGAGCCTCTTCACAAAGAGGTCGAACTCCTCATCCCTGCTCACCATGCTTATTCTCACACACTTCGGGTCGCTCCCAAAGCGCTTTCCACTTCTTGTTAGAATCTTGTGCCCTCTAAATAGCTTCTCACAGTCCACATCTTCTTTGCATCTCATCCATGCAAAAGCTGTTGAAAAATCACAAAAAAGATGTCAAGATATATTTCAAATGTAACGTTGTCTCATCTGCTCAGCCACTTCTCATTACATGAACATATTCGATACCGCTCATGGGGACAGGTCCCACTTCGTGTAGTACCAGTATCGGCAGTGGCTGAACTCTAATTGTCCATATTTAAATACATAGATTACATAATTAATTACCAGGATGTGCCTCAGCAAAGTCTCCAGTGAAATTGCAGTGCTGAGGGTGGAACTTGGGTAGAGTAAAGAGTTTATTGCACCTAACAATTTCCCTCAACTTCTTCCACCTTTCAGTCAAGAGGTGCTGGCCATATTCAAAAAAGTTATCCGACTCCGGGAGCCTAACTGTTTGACTGCAGCTATCAGAGATCACTTCCAGGATCTTGGCTGCTCTTTGTTGTGCTTCTTTGGACACCCCAATTGTGTTAATCTCAATAAACTTCACCATTTTCCTTGCAACGTTTATGTCCTTAACAAGAGCCCATCTGTACATGGAACAAGAGCCAAGAATCAACAATAAGGGTGGGAACCATTTGGTTCGATCTGGTTCTTACAAGAACATGATTGGAGTCGGGCTCGGAGCATGTTTGGTTAAGTTCTTAAAAAAGTAAAGTTACTTTTAAGTTTTACGTATCTTTTGCCAAACATGTTAGATACAAATGAAAGCATTTGTATGTAACACGTAGGGGTGAAAACCGTTGTGTTCAATGCACTTCTTGCAAGGACTTGATCGGAGCATGGTACCCAAAAAATGAAAGTTACTTATAAGCAACATATTTTTGTCTGATATGTTAAAGCACTTAGAAACTTACCCAATTCTTGATCCTGCATGTCCAGTGCATTTAGAAACTGTGAATAGCATAATGTCATAATCTGCTGGACCAGTAATGGGAGTGTACTGTGGCCAGTAGTAAGCAAGGTCATGAACAAGCATCCCTTGAGCTCTATTCACAATAGGTTCTCTTATAAACCCATCAGGGTTATTTGGGGAAGTTACCATTTCTATGTAGGACCCATCTTTATCAAAATTGTGTGCATCACCTGCCCATTTGTAGAGTCCAGACCTTACAAAATCTGTCACTTCTGGATATGACTGCAAGAAACATAGCAACTTTATTTTATGTCTGAATTAGTTGACTTTATTTAAATATTCAGAAATTTTAAAAGTCAAAACTAATCATAATCGATTTATGTGAATTCTACAGTATCTCTAATAGTTTAAGTTTTGGTCGAGATAACACATACCGAGTAGTAAGGAGCAGCTGATACAACACTGATAGGGTTTGGCTCATTTAAAGGATCAGAAAGGGCATATAACACAGCCTGAATGAGCTGACTTGATCCAGTCCCAACAACAATATGATAACCCTCTACTGTTGCATTGCCTACGACATCGTGCAATTTCTTTATCTCTTCCTCAAGTTTTGGCTCCAAAAACCAGCACAAGTTTTTTGGGTTGGCGAAATAACTTAGAGATTGATATCCCATGAACATGACCGTGCACGCGTTTCCCACTTTTCTCCAGTAGGATTCAAACATTGTAGGATCACCACTATCGAAAAAACAAAATTTTGCATTAGCCACGTAGAAATATTCTTATTCATAAAGGGTCGACCACATAAATCCTTTTTCGCCACTATGATATGTTATGGAAGAAGATCCATTGCATACCAATAAACCTTTAAACACACTGGTGAAAGACTTACTGATCCAAATTGATAATGGCGTCGGACGATAGGTTAGGCCGGGGGTTATTCTCTGTGGCTTCAGGCACAACACCAGAAGAACACTTTGAGCCTTTGATAACAATGGCCTGATCTGAGCCACACATCTTTCTTGATCTCAACTCTTAGTGTTTTAGGGTTACAGAAAGAACACCACCAGTAGTATATAACTGAACTCACACACTATATTTTCTATGCCTATGCTTCTCTATTTATAGGACAGCAGTGGTTAGATATAGAAATCTGTTACTAATTTAATTTGGATTGCTTTCAATAAATGTGTTTACATCAGAATTTTTATTTCTAGATAATTAATGGTAAACGTTCCCAAAAATGGGACTCGTTTGGTAGAGCTTTTACTTATTGTATAATTGCTTTTTTAGGTTCCCTCTAAAAACTCTTCAAACGAGACACAAAGTGAAAATTATTCAATATGTTCAAAAGCAATTTATTAATTTCGGAAGCATTTTTAGCTTTTCAAAGCTCTATTAAACTGGCCTTACATAACGAGGGTGGAAGCACTAATTATTTTATTTTATTTTATTGCACAGATCAAGGAATAAAAGATCTGACAAATTAAGGACAAAATTTTATGTAAGAGATAAATCTTATCTTTACCAGAAAGAAATTTTCAAATTTCCTTATTCAAATATAATTGAAATTTACATCTTAATGACTTACTATATATAACAAATATGGTAATTATTATTAATTATATTAAAACATATTTTTATAAATACACCACAATTAATGCACAAATATATCCCTAATTAGAGTAAGAAAATTATTAACTATATATATGATTTGATAACCCTTAAAACGAGTTTTTTTCGGGGGGAAATGAGTTTTAGAATAGTGATTTTTTAGAGAATGTGTGGTTAGAAGTTAGTTAAAAATTTTGGGTTTATGTGTTGAATATTTTATTATGAAAACGTGTGGTTGAAAATGAGTTTGAGAAAAAAAATTATTTTTAACGATTATCAAACAGAGGCATAATGATAAGATCGACATTGTAAACTTGTTACATCCAAACTCAAGTTAAAGTACGTGTGAATGTTATTTTCATATTAAAGAAATTTTGTTTATATCAATATATTCGGTAGGGGATAATGCCAAATCTTCTATTCACTTAAGATATCATTTTATTGGTGATAAGACAACAAAATCATGGTGACAATATAAGGCTTTATTTGATTGATGTCATATCCGAGGAAAACGAATTTCATTTTTACCGTTTGATTGCACGTGGAAATGGAAATCGAATTTCAAGGTACAACGACTTTAAATTGCATTTTCTTTGTTTTTATGAAAAACGAATTCCTATAGATTTAATGAGTTTTTATGTTCCAACTAACATGAAAGTGGAATTTCTTTCCACATTTGCCTATCAAACGGACCCTAAGCATAACTATCCTTCGAAAAAAAACCACATGGTGGTGCAAGACCATTGGTTAAGCACGCTTGTTTATGTATTTTGGACCAATTCTTCTTATATTCGAAAGAGCTACTCTTGGACTATGCTACAAAAAATGTAAATAGCACTCGGAGTGGAGAATTCCTCTCTTATGTTAATTTTACAATGAGAATGAATTAGAAAAAAATTTGAGTCATGAATATGATAATGTGTAAAGATTATGAATATTTCATGCAATTAATATGTAGTCTTGTAATTAAAAACTGTGGTGTAAATATATTTAAGCCAAAAAAATTACCAATGCGTGGGCTTTGGAACTTGGAAATTCCTATTTAGAAAAAGCTTTAAAAAATTGGGACATATTCTCTTTACAATTCTCAAATCGTTTTCTATTTTCGATTTTTCAAAATAATGAAAATGCATTCTCTTTCCATAAAATTTACAAAGAAAACTCAAAACGACGAGTGTTTTCAATTATAATCAAGTCAAAATTTTCAAAACGCGTTTTTGGTGTTTTCAAAACAATTTTTCAAAATACAAAAAAGAAAACATTTTCAATAATCTCAAAATGGATACTCAAAACACAAAATCCAAAATGAATTCAAAACTCAAAACACAAAACTGAAAAGCATAAGGAGAACAGCCCCTTAATGTTTCTGAAAATATTTGGATTGAGAAATAACTTTCAAATGCAGGTGAATACCATTTGATTTGAACAATTTTTAAACTATTTTCAAATCAAATTATTTTAAACGATTTAGAAAAAAATATCTAACCAATCCAGAACATTTCATTTTTCAAACCAATCACAGTTTTAACGACATAAAAATAACATATTTCAAACAAGTAAAAAATAAATATACTGACCTAAAATTTCACTACAACACTTAGCCCCTATTTTGTGAGAATTAAAATTAATTTTGATAAAAATTAATTAAATGTATGGTTGAAAAGTTGTGGATTCCACGAAATATGCTATTAAAATTTATTATTGTTAGATTAAATTTAATCTAAACATAGGCTTAAATTGAAAACGCTCTAAACATTAATGTTACAAAACTAATGCGAGCTTAAACTAATTAGATTAATACAAGTTCATCAATAAAATTTAAATTTGCAATTTCTTCTTTAAATAAGAAAAATATTATCAAAAATATATAATTTTTTCAAAAATAATTTAACTATAGCTATTCTCAAAACATTTTATTCGACTTTTGAAACTATCAAAATTTAAATCACGACAGCAATTTCGATTTGATTTGGCGAGTTGATAATTTTTTTGTTTGCCCCTACTTTCAAACTAAAAGCTCACTTAGAATTTGTGTTTTTAAGGCCCAAATTTCTTGGAGATATCCATTTCAAATTTAAGAGATAAGCTTTAAAATTTTAAATTTCAAATTTTTTAAG